CAGCCATCATTGTTGTTTGGCGGGCCCAGGCTGGGGATTCGAACCCGCCACCTTAGGTGTATGTGGCTGGCGCCTTAGCCACTTGAGCCACAGGCGACGAGCCTCGTTTTTGTTTTTTTTGTTGTTGTTTGTTTGTTTTTGAGACAGAGTCTCTTTGTGAGAATCACTTAAGCCCATGAGTTTGAGGTTGCTGTGAGCTCTAAGGCCACAGAACTCTACTCAGGGTGACTGAGTGAGACTCTGTTTCCCAAAAAAAAACCTCCTGGGTTCAAGGGATTCTCCTGCTTCAGCCTCCCAAGTAGCTGGTACCCACCATAATACCCAGCTAATTTTTTCTATTTTTAGTAGAGACAAGGTCTCCCTCTTGCTCAGGCTAGTCTCAAACTCCTTAGCTCAAGGGATCCTCTCACTTCAGCCTCCCAGAGTACTAGGATTACATGGAGTGAGACACCACACCCAGCCAGGGCAACTTTAAATACCAAGAGATAACTTTTTTTTTTTTTTGGAGACAGAGTCTCACTATGTTGCCCCCGGTAGAGTGCCATGCCATCACTGCTCATAGCAACCTCAAACTCTTGGGCCTAAGCAATTCTCTTGCCTCAGCCTCCCAAGTAGCTGGGACTATAGGTGCCTGCCACAACAACAGCTATTTTTTGGTTGCAGTTGTCATTTTGTTTAGCAGGCCCGGGCCGGGCTTGAACCTGCCACCTTTGATGTATGTGGCCAGTGCCCTACTCACTGAGCTAAGGGTGCCAAGCTACTTTTTGGTTACAATTGTCACTGTTGTTCTAGCAGAGTTGGGCTGAGTCCAAACCCGCCAACCTCAAGTGTATGTGGTCAGTGCCTTAACCACTGAGCTACAGGCACCACCAAGTTTTCTTTATTTTGAATAAAAGCTCTGGGAAATTGGAAAAAAACAGGAACCAGATGACAGATTAGGGTGTGTCTATAGCTCAACTGCTTGCTTGCTTGACCAAATCAACCTTGTAGGGCCACTGTGAGGACTGAATAAGCCTGTTTATATTTTCCACAACATGGGGATATTTTAGGTGCTCAGCAACTGAAAGTCTCTCCCTTACCCATACATCCCTATCTTATTTGGCTTTTCTCTGAATGTTTTGAAATCTACTGCCTCCAATGGCCAATGTAATTCTTAATTCAGTTGTCTCCCTGATTCTCAGGTATCTTTCTCTCTTACTGATTCAAACCAGAAGGAATATAGAATCTCAGGTCTTATCCCTGTCCTAATGGATTTCATTTTGACTCAACAAATCCTTCAAGTGATTTGTAAGCACTTAAAATCTGAGCAGCACTGGATGAGTATAGCTCAAACCTAATAGGGCCGCAACAGAGTCCATACCCCTCCCCCAACCACTCCTCTCAGGCTTTGCCACCCAAGTAAATTGCATCACCCAGCTGCTCATGCCAAAAACTTAGGAGTTATCTTTGATAACTAGTTATCCAGGCAAAAGTACCCAGAGCCCATGAAAAGTTATGTGGTCCTGGCAACAGTAATCTTTATTTATTTATTTAGTTATTTTTTTTACTTTGTCACTCTTGATAGAGTGCCATGGCGTCATAGCTCACAGCAACCTCAAACTGTAGGACTCAAAGGGATTCTCTTGCCTCAGTCTCCCTACTAGCTGGGACTACAGGTGCCCACCACAACGCCTGGCTATTTTTAGAGACAGAGTCTTGCCCTTGCTCAGGCTGGTCTCAAACTCCATAGCTCAGGCAATTCCATCCACCTACGCCTCCCACAGTGCTAGGATTACAGGCATGAGCCACTGTGCCTTGCAATAACCTTATTATTATTATTTTTAGGAGGGAAGGAAAGGCTGTCGGTGGGAGAAGAGAGGAGTCCTTGGCTACAGTACTCAAAAGCCACAACGTTGGCATGGCACCGCCTTCTGGTTTCAGCCCTCAGCTGACACTAACTTGTTCAGTGGATCTGCCTGTTCCATTGCCGCTACCGCCACAGCCTCCTGGCCCACAACCATGCCCAATAACCTTATTTTTAAATATTTATTTATCTATTTATTCGACAGAGGATCACTGTGTTCCCCAATCTAGAGTGCCATGGCACCAGCCTAGCTCACAGTAACCTCTTCTCCTGCCTCAGCCTCCCAAGTAGCTGGGGCTACAGGTGTCCACCATAACACTCAGTTAATTTTTTCTATTTTTTGTACAGATGAGGTCTTGCTCTTGCTCAGGCTGGTCTCAAACTCCTTAGTTCAAGGGATATGCCCACCTCAGCCTCCTCAAGGGCTAGGATTATAGGTGTGAGCTACCTTGCTTGGACTAATTTTTTTTTTCTTTAGAGACGGTCTTTCTCTGTCTACTAGGCTGGAGTACAGTGGCACAATTATAGCTCACTGCAGGATCCAAAATTCCCGGGCTCAAGCAACCCTCCTACCTTAGCCTCTGGAGTAGCTTGGTCTACAGGTGTGTACTCCCATACCCAGGTGGTCTCAAACCTCTGATCTCAAGCAATCATCTGCCTTGGCCTCCCCAAGTGCTGGCCCTACAGGTATGAGCCACTCTGTCTGGACTCAGCAACAACCTTTTTAATTGGACCTTTTCTTCCATTATTATGTCTGTATAGTCCAATCTCCAATCGGTAACTTGAGTAATCTTTTTTTCTAATTAAAGTGTGACTTACATAAAACATACAAATCTTACTTGTACAATCTGATAAATTTTACTATATACCCCCATATCTATCATTCACATCAAGATATTATGTAATCCTTTTAAAAATTTTATTTCAAGTCATGATATTCCTCTGCTTAAAATCATTCCATGCTTTCCCAACCCACTTTAAGTAAAATCGAAACACCTCCTAAACCTGGGTTACAAAGCCGCATATGATCCAACCCCTATCCGTCTCTCAAACTTCATTTTGTACCCCCTTCCCCCTCCCACACTAGCAACCTAATTTTATTTATTTATTTTTTTGAGACAGAGCCTCAAGCTGTCCCCCTGGGTAGAGTGCCGTGGCATTACAGCTCACAGCAACCTCCAACTCCTGGGCTCAAGCAAGTCTCCTG